AGGGTATTTGGACTTTGAATTTGAAATGTTTTCTGGTCCAGGCCAGGAGCAGGTGCAAGTTTCCATTACCTAATGCTGTCGGAATTCCATGAACCGGGAGAAAAATAAATGCTGGGAAGCAGTGATTTTAAAATGCTCCCTCTCTCGCTCTCTCTGTGAAAACAAATGGAAGAGAGAGAGAGAGAATTCCAACAAGGGGATAGTATTGATAGTGTGATACAGTGACATCTGGCTTAGAGAGAACATATCATATCTGAGGGGTTGGCTGGAGTGCTGCAGCATCATGAACACAGTGACAGCTCTGTCTATGAACCATCTGGGTGTGTAATGTATTATGAATTCATTATCGGCATTTATGTATTGGACTGTTATAGTGCAATGAATGCTTATAGCAAGTCCTATTAAGCACTGGTGAAACCACATTAGGCATCAAAGAAAGTGATACTAAATCTACAAATTCATTGTGAGTAGTAATAACACCTGCGTTAAAGAACAATAATAGATATTCGTGCCAGAATGCAAGAGTAGCTTATCACGCACTGGCCTGCTGTTTTCGCTGAGCAGTGCTTGGTTGCACCATGGCTGGTCGCTGGGGGAAGGGGAGTGCATTTACTAGGTCAGCAACCCCACTGACTGTTGCAGGAGTGTGTGTGTGTATCAGCAGCCCCCCTGACAGTTCCAGGCGTGTGCAGTTTAAACATGTCAAACACTGTCTTCATCCACAACGCTACACACAGAGGGGGAGGGGAGACTCTATCTTTCTACACACACACACACACACACACACACATCAGCGCACTCATGCACACACACTTAGAGATCCATTGCCCGCAAACATATAAGCACACACACACACACACACGTCTCAGAGCAGTACCTGTATACATTAGTACATTAGCAGTGAGCGTGCACAATAAACAGGGGATTAAATGGCATGCCAGTGAAGTGAGCTCACCCTGTAAGGATCTGGGGAGACTCAGTAGTGATAAAGAGAGATGTCATACATCCGTTGACAATTACCAGGGTGGATTTTCTTAGTGTCTCCCTGTAATCTATGAACATGGTTTTGTTATTGTTTTCAACCTGGGGTGTGGAGGATCAGTAGTGAATTGAATTGAGTAAACTTTATTGGTCATATTTAAAGGGATACTTCCTGATTTTGGCAATCAAGCCCTTTATCTAATTCCCCAGAGTCAGATGAACTAATAGATACCATTTTTATGTCTCTGCATCCAGTATGAAGGAAGTTAGAGGTAGTTTCGTGAGCCACTGCTAACTAGCATTAGCTCAATAACTGGAAGTCTGTGGTATCTACTAGCATATTAGCAGTTACCATAGACTTCCAGTCATTGTGATAACGCTAGTTAGCAATTGCACTAACGCTGGTTAGCAACTTCCTTTAAACTGCACACTGAGACATAAAAATGGTATCCACGAGTTCATCTGACTCTGGGGAAGTAGATTGCGAAAATCCGGAAGTATCCCTTTAAGTAATTGCAATGGTTTTTGTGGTCAACATACACTACCGGTCAAAGGTTTTAGAACACCTACTCATTCAAGGGTTTTTCTTTGTTTTTACTATTTTCTACATTGTAGAATAATAGTGAAGACATCAAAACTATGAAATAACACATATGGAATCATGTAGTAACCAAAAAATATATATTTTATGTTTGAGATTCTTCAAATAGCCACCCTTTGCCTTGATGACAGCTTTGCACACTCTTGGCATTCTCTCAACCAGTTTCACCTGGAATGCTTTTCCAACGGTCTTGAAGGAGTTCCCACATATGCTGAGCACTTGTTGGCTGCTTTTCCTTCACTCTGCGGACCGACTCATCCCAAACCATCTCAATTTGGTTGAGGTCGGGATATTGTGGAGGCCAGGTCATCTGATGCAGCACTCCATCACTCTCCTTCTTGGTAAAATAGCCCTTACACAGCCTGGAGGTGTGTTGGGTCATTGTCCTGTTGAAAAACAAATGATAGTCCCACTAAGCCCAAACCAGATGGGATGGTGTATCGCTGCAGAATGCTGTGGTAGCCATGCTGGTTAAGTGTGCCTCGAATTGTAAATAAATCACAGACACGCCGGTTGGAACCAAACATCTCCAATTTGGACTCGAGACCAAAGGACAAATTTCCACCGGTCTAATGTCCATTGCTCGTGTTTCTTGGCCCAAGCAAGTATCTTCTTCTTCTTGGTGTCCTTTCGTAATGGTTTCTTTGAAGCAATTGACCATGAAGGCCTGATTCAAACAGTCTCCTCTGAACAGTTGATGTTGAGATGTGTCTGTTACTTGAACTCTATGAAGCATTTATTTGGGCTCCAATTTCTGAGGCTGGTAACTCTAATGAATTCATCTTCTGCAGCAGAGGTAACTCTGGGTTTTTCATTCCTGTGGCGATCCTCATGAGAGCCAGTTTCATCATAGCTCTTGATGGTTTTTGCGACTGCACTTGAAGAAACTTTCAAAGTTCTTGACATTTTCCGTATTGACCTTCATGTCTTAAAGTAATGATGGACAATCGTTTCTCTTTGCTTATTTGAGTTGTTCTTGCCATAATATGGACTTGGTCTTTTACCAGATAGGGCTATCTTCTGTATACCCCCCCTACCTTGTCACAACACAACTGATTGGCTCAAACGCATTAAGAAGGAAAGAAAGTCCACAAATTAACTTTTAAGAAGGCACACCTGTTTATTGAAATGCATTTTAGGTGATTACCTCATGAAGCTGGTTGAGATAATGCCAAGAGTGTGCAAAGCTGTCATCAAGGCAAAGGGTGGCTATTTGAAGAATCTCAAATATTTTGATTTGTTTCACACTTTTTTGGTTACTACATGATTCCATATGTGTTATTTCATAGTTTTGATGTCTTCACTATTATTCTACAATGTAGAAAATAGTAAAAATAAAGAAAAACCCTTGAATGAGTAGGTGTTCTAAAACTTTTGACCGGTAGTGTATTTATCTACACACAAAATCAAACACACTGTCAAATTGTTGTACCGTCAAATTAGAAAAGGTTTATATTGACACAGGTGTCAAAAGGTGTTAGTTAGTAGTTCATGGTAGAAGCTACATTATTGCTGCTGTTTATTGCATTGTCTAGTAGACATTCTCTTTATTGTTCTTTGTCGTCTTCCTGACATTCCCCCTCTAAATGAGCTAATTGATCCGTAGTCCTCATGCATCATGCAAGGCATCACAACACATTCGCTAAGATAATGTGACGGTCATTTTGAGGTTACACCACCAGACACACAGCCATGGAATTTGTTTTTCAATAAATCTGTGAAATATGCCTGTCACTCAAAATGAGGGAGTACTAGGGAATTAGGACATGAGCAAAATAATGGGGGGAAAGAAGTTGACAAAGAACAGAAGCCTGTTGAAGTCTGAGGCGTGTTGTTAGTTTGAGGTTGAGGAAACAGAAGGCCAGTGGCTGTGTATGTTGTGTTGTGCCACACTCTGTAAGAGCTGGGCAGCCACAGAGGGCAAACATAAACCTTAGCCCACAGACAGCTACCACACCAGACCAGATCAGACCACCCCTTATCCATCATGGACTGTACACACACCCCAAACACACAGCATCATTGAACATAGATCAATACATAGCCAAACAGCAGCAGTAGTAGTCCCAGTGCTAGCCTGTGCTAGCCAGGACTGGAGCAGTGTAGCAGCCTGGGCTGACCTGGTGTTGCTCACAGTAAACTGGAGGTGACAGGTTCTGGCAGGAGCACAGCGCCAGTCACGCGATCGCCGTGGTCTTGGACCCAGTACAAACACTGGGAAGTTCATAAATTACAGTTTGGGGAACCGACTCCTCTGCTTCCACCGCCCTCCTTCCCTCCTTCCATCCCTCCCTCCCTCCTTCCCTCCCTCCCTCCCTCCTCTCTCCTTCCCTCCCTCCCTCCCTCCCTCCCTCCCTCCCTCCCTCCCTCCCTCCCTCCTTCCTTCCTTCCTTCCTTCCTTTCCTTCCTTCCTTCCCGCCCTCCCTCCTTCCCTGCCTCCCTCCCCCTCCCTTCCTTCCCTCCTTCCCTCCTCCTTTCCTTCCTTCCCTCCCTCCTACCTTCCTTCCATCCTTCCTTCCTTCCTTCCTTCCTTCCTTCCTTCCTTCCTTCCTTCCTTCCTTCCTTCCTTCCTTCCCTCCCTCCCTCCCTCCCTCCTCCCCTCCCTCCCTCCCTCCCTCCCTCCCTCCCTCCCTCCCTCCCTCCCTCCCTCACCCTTCCTTCCTTCCTTCCCGCACTCCCTCCTTCCCTGCCTCCCTCCCTCCCTCCCCCTTCCTTCCTTCCTTCCTTCCTTCCTTCCTTCCTTCCTTCCTTCCTTCCTTCCTTCCTTCCTTCCTTCCTTCCTTCCTCCTTCCTTCCTTCCTTCCTTCCTTCCTTCCTTCCTCCTTCCCTCCTTCCCTCCCTCCCTCCCTCCCTCCCTCCCCTCCCCTCCCTCCCTCCCTCCCTCCCTCCCTCCCTCCCTCCCTCCCTCCCTCCCTTCCTCTCCCTTCCTTCCTTCCTTCCTTCCCGCCCTCCCTCCTTCCCTGCCTCCCTCCCCCTCCCTTCCTTCCCTCCTTCCCTCCCCCTTCCTTCCTTCCCTCCTACCTTCCTTCCTTCCTTCCCTTCCTTCCTTCCTTCCTTCCTTCCTTCCTTCCTTCCTCCGTTCCTTTCTCCTTCCTTCCTTCCTTCCTTCCTTCCTTCCTTGCTTCCTTCCTTCCTTCCTTCCTTCCTTCCTTCCTCCTTGCCTCCTTTGCCTCCTCTGCCTCCCTCCCTCCCTCCCTCCTCTCCCCATCCCTCCCCTCCCTGCCCATCCCTCCCCCTTCCTTCCGTCCCCCGCCCCCCTCCTTCCTGCCTCCCTCCCCCTTACTTCCTTCCCTCTTCCTTATCCTTCCTGCACTCCCTCCTTCCCCCTCAGTTGTGGACAGCCTGTTGTGAATGAGCTGTATGAATCCCATTTAATGAATACTTTCAATATGAGGGCAGTCGATTGAAAACCTCTGTGATGGCTTTGCTCGGTGTTGTCATCTTTTGGGTGTTCCTTGGAAGGGCTTTTGGAAGACAAACACTGTCAGGAAATGTAAAAACTCACCCTCATATCTGTGATATTAAATTGCTAATAACCCAAACAAGATGAGCCAAGCTCCAAAGCCAAGTGCCGCTATCATGATTCATGCAAACTAACGTGTGTCTCTCTTTTGTCCCCTCTAGTCCCTGACTGGCTTTGCGCTGGTGGTGAGCAGTGATGGAATGGTCTTCTATGCCTCCTCCACCATCGTTGACTACTTGGGCTTCCATCAGGTATGTCTCATTATTAAGATATTTTATTAATTTTATGTATTTTATATGGTCTTCCAGGGCATACTGGTAACAGATAACATACGTTCAGTTAAAGGTATTTCTGCTGACATTTACCACAGTCGTGAAGCAGCGATTAAGGGCGACAGCCAGGCTAACTAGAGTAGAGGGACTGTATATGTACTCTGCACATTGAGAGAGCCCCAAGAGGGTTGAGACAGGGGCCATGGCCCACTGCACTCAGTGTCAGCCTGGTAGAAACTGCTGTCCCAATGGGAGCCGGCCACAGCAGCAGACACACAAAAGAAGATACAGTCACACCAGTTCACAATGTTGAGGTGTCAGTCAAAGGCTAGGCCTAGTTACCCTGCCACTGTCTCTTGGCTTTCCATCCCCTGACCTCTCTTAGCCTCTCTCCCCTTCACTTTGCTCCATCTCTCCATCCCTCTCTATGCGGGTCTGTCAGATTATTTGGTGGGGTGTAAAGAACTCCCTGAACCCTTCACCAGAGGGAAAAGGTGATGGGGAGGTCAGCTCAGCAGCTGTTCAGAGAGAGAGAGAGAAAGGTTCTGAGGGGGTCAGGAGGTAGTGACCGGGCCAGGCAGGCGTAAGACGAGGCGAACTCCGGCTTCTCCGACTTCCTCCATGACGTTAATTATTGATGTTATCAACTGGGCATGCCTGTCCTCCCCTACTTAAATCATTTCCCCTCACAGTCATGAATAAAGTGCTTTAACACTATTAGCAGCGCCACCAGCTCCCCAGACAAGGCAGCCGTTTGAGCGCGGGAGATTATTCTGCAAGAGTGCCTGCACTTGCCTTACAAGGAGTTGGGTGCAATAACAGCATCATTAAAATGAAATGAAAACTGAAGTGGTCTGAAAGTGGTGCCTTGCTGCGTGCCAGAGACTTTAGCCGTATGTCACTCCAGAGCTGTGAGTGCTCGTTCATGACACAGCCGCGTTTACAGCCAAATTCAACTGTGTCCAGTTCAAGTGGCTTTGTGTCATCGGCCCTCAATTCTGTAGAGGATTGGGGAGATTAAAATTATATTTCACAAATTATATTTCACAAGGGGTGTGAAAAAGGAGGTTTCTGTGACAGTGTTTAGTCCTGCCATTTAGAATCACCTACAGAAGGATGTTGCATGGTCTGACACAGAATTGTTACATTTCACAGTAGCCCATAAGTTGTCCTAACCCCCACTGACACACTCACTCACACACACTTGTGACTATAGATCACTCAGTATAAATCGTTGTTCACCTTTAAAAAAACATACAATTAATCATTTTTTAAGCGTGTAAGTCTGTTCAATTTTCTAATACAAAACAAACTTCAACTCATAATATGAGTTTATATATACACTACATGACCAAAATGCCCCCCCCCTTGTTGCTATAACAGTCCTCAACTCTTCTGGGAAGGCTTTCCACTAGATGTTGGAACATTGCTGTGGGGACATGCTTCCATTCAGCCACAAGAGCATTAGTGAGGTCGGACACATTAGTGAGGTCGGCGATTAGGCCTGGCTCGCAGTCTGCGTTCCAATTCATCCCAAAGGTGTTCGATGGGGTTGAGGTCAGGGCTCTGTGCAGGCCAGTCAAGTTATTCTACACCGATCTCGACAAACCATTTCTGTATGGACCTCGCTTTGTGCATGGGGGCATTGTCATGCTGAAACAGGAAAAGGCCTTCCCCAAACTGTTGCCACAAAGTTGGAAGCACAGAATCGTTTAGAATGTCATTGTATGCTGTAGCGTTAAGACTTCCCTTCACTGGAACTAAGGGGCCTAGCCCAAACCATGAAAAACAGCCCCAGACCATTATTCCTCCTCCACCAAACTTTACAGTTGGCACTAGGCATTCGGGCAGGTAGTGTTCTCCTGGCATCTGCCAAACCCAGATTCGTCCGTCGGACTGCCAGATGGTGAAGCGTGATTCATCACTCCAGAGAACGTGTTTCCAGTGCTCCAGAGCCCAATGGTGGCGAGCTTTAGACCACTCCAGCCGACGCTTGCGCATGGTGATTTTAGGATTGTGTGCGGCTGCTCGGCCATGGAAACCCATTTCATGAAGCTCCCGACGAACAGTTATTGTGCTGACGTTGCTCGCAGAGGCAGTTTGGAACTCGGTAGTGAGTGTTGCAACCAAGGACAGACGATTTTTACACGTTACGCGCTTCAGCACGTCTCGTTCTGTGAGCTTGTGTGGCCTACCATTTCGCGGCTGAGCCGTTGCTGCTCCTAGACATTTCCACTTCACAATAACAGCACTTACAGTTGACAGGGGCAGCTGTAGCAGGGCAGAAATTTCACGAACTGACTTGTTGGAAAGGTGGCATCGTATGATGGTGCCACGTGGAAAGTCACTGAGTTCTTCAGTAAGGCCATTCTACTGCCAATGTTTGTCTATGAAGATTGCATGGCGGTGTGCTTGATTTTATACACCTGTCAGCAACGGGTGTGGCTGAAATAGCCGAATCCACTAATTTGAAGGGGTGTCCACATACTTTTGTATATAGAGTGTGCACAATATAGTTTACTATTTAATTTACGGCTTATAACTGTCAAGTTGTGGCATTATGTATACATCATGCAGTTGGGTGTGATTGTGAGAAAGAGTCTGATAATACCACTTAAACCTTGACAAAACATTCCAGACATCCATAATTAAGAAGCCATAAAGAAGACAGACACACTAATAGGCAACACTGAAGACATATATAGGGCTGTTTTTAGGACGACACCACAAGAAAGCACTGAAATGGTGCAGAAACAGCATTGTCGCTTTGATCCTATTTGTTCCGTTGTAATTATGCTTTTGAAGATCAAGACGCGAGGGCCAGAGAAAATATCACTTATTCTTATTTTACAAGAGAATCTCACACAATAGACACCCGATCTGTCTGCCGGTGGGAACTGTGGTGGCGCTTGCCATGTGCTTCGGTTGGAGGAATTGTTTTGCAAGGCAAATGTTCAAAAAACCTTGCGTGTCTCCAATGTGGAAATTATGGGGGGAAGGTTGAATATTTCAGTGGGGATCTGTCATTTCCCTGACAGAAAGCACAGCTATTGCTGGAAAGAAAGAGGCATTACAAATGTGGGCTGGGTTGGGTTGTAAGGGGGGTTTTCAGCAGGGCTGGGCTGGGCTGCTCTTCAGGAGCTGGTGTCACGCAATGTTTGACAAACAAGACTTGCCCTCACTGGCCCCGTGGCTCAGTGACATTGGAGAGCCACTGTAAATGCTGCCTGTAGTGTAGTTTAGTAGAAGCATTCCTTGAGGAATTGCAGCAGCACACAAAAAAAGTGTAATATATTGGCAACAACAACCAGCTGATCTCAGACAATCTTCCAGTAAATATGCCACTTTTTCAGAGCTGCTGTGGATATTGCTCTGAATACACGATTTAACTGAAATTGTGTAAAGTCATTCACTGAGTCATTCAAACAGTCACATTCTTTAAACAAAGTGTTGTATATTTATTTAGATTTCAAGTTATTTATAAGTTGTTCCAACCACAAAATGTCCTAAACAAGATTCGATCCAGCTTCGAAACTCATACAAAATCACACCAATCCCAATCTGAGCGACAGACAGACCGATTAGCAGCCCGTTAGCCAGACCCATTACAGAACTATGGTGTCACCCCCAGAGCCCTCTGCGTGTGAGGCCGTCAGGCCAACCCAGTGAACCACAGCAGAGGTCACGTGGCGAGAGCGCCACTGTTTGCCAACACAATAAACCAGATCCTGGATCCCATCAATACTTCAAGCGGAGGGGGGCCTGGTAATGGGCTCTGGGTTATGGGTTATGGGTGGGGGTAATGGTTAATGGTTCTGGGGTCTTGATGTGTTATAGTCTCGGTCTCTCCCTCCATGCAGACGGACGTGATGCACCAGAACGTCTTTGATTATATCCACGTGGATGACCGGCAGGAGTTCAGAAAACAGCTCCACTGGGCCATGAACCCCAGCCAGCACGGCTCGTCCCAGGACCACCATTCAGCCGCAGAAACTGGTGTGTATATAATTACCCGCAACAGTAAAGGTAGGGAGGGTCAGGGGGGTTTTAGTGGAGGGAGGCCCTCTGCCTAGAAACAGCGGGAGTGAGCGAGCAGAAATGAGGAGCACTGATTCAGCAAACAGTAAGACTAGACTGTTTGTTTTGAATAAGGAGCACTGTAATCAAATGCTGTTAACTCTATTCACAACCACTAACCAGACTGTGATTAATGGTCAATGTATGAGCGGAAAGTCCCCACCAGACTATGCTTGATTATGTTAGAGATAGGCCTTCGTATTTCTCACAAAAACACCTCCTTCCAATGCCACCTCTCCACCACAGGGATGAGGTGTGTGAGAAATATGCAGGCCTATCTCTAACATAATCGACTCTACAATTGTTTACCTACACTGTAAGTATTTTAAGGCTTGTCTACAGTAAGATACTGGAAATCTGCAATATAGTGAATATTAGTTAATTTATTTTTATAGGAGAGGACTTTGTGGTGAGCAGCCTGTTCCATTCTCAGGAGGCGGGGGGAGTTGCTCCTGAGTTCTCCTCCTTCCTCAACCGCTGTTTCATCTCTCGCGTACGCTGCCTGCTGGACAGCACCTCTGGCTTTCTGGTGAGTGGACTAACCCATCCAAAGACCCCACCCAGCCATGATGCCTCTAATGAGAACTGACTGGGATATACTTACCAAAGGAAAATCTCCCATTTGGTGTCATGTTTGCTGAAATTGTAACTTGAGTGTAGGTATAAATAGAATGTCCCCATATCCCAGGCATAGCAGGCCAGGATATTTGGTGCTTGGACACAGATTTATTTACTATTTACAGCCATTGGTCCACCTTCCATAGTTCTGACCAGAGTGGTTTGGAGGTTTGGATCCGTCAATGGAAATGGATGGGGCTTGAAGTTGGCCTTGGTTTGAACACTGTAGGGAAGGTCAACAGAGATCCTCCTGTCAACGGGTCCATTTCGATGGCTGGCAAAGACAGCTTTGGTCGTTCAGTTATTTCTCTAGGCTGTTGTGACTGAATAAACTATTTTTTGCATTACCAAAAGTGCTGAGATCAGACAAGTTGTAAGCCAGAATTCATTAATAGCATAATAGTGCTTCAAATTATAGTGTTCTAAACAGCATCTGGCAAAAGTTCTCGACATGAACATGTTCTTTATACAGGAGGGAAAAAAGCATTTGATCCCCTGCTGATTTTGTACGTTTGCCCACTGACAAAGAAATTATCAGTCTATAATTTTAATGGTAGGTTTATTTGAACAGTGAGAGACAGAATAGCAACAAAAAAATCAAGAAAAACGCATGTCAAAAATGTTATAAATTGATTTGCATTTTAATGAGGGAAATAAGTATTTGACCCCTCTGCAAAACATGACTTAGTACTTGGTGGCAAAACCCTTGTTGGCAATCACAGAGGTCAGACATTTCTTGTAGTTGGCCACCAGGTTTGCACACATCTCAGGAGGGATTTTGTCCCACTCCTCTTTGCAGATCTTCTCCAAGTCATTAAGGTTTCGAGGCTGACGTTTGGCAACTCGAACCTTCAGCTCCCTCCACAGACAGACCCGTCGGCAGACCTCAGTCTTAAGGGGGGCATATGAAATGCATGGGAGGGCAGGGCACAATTATTATTAGCCTACAGTACGTATATTTAATAATAAATTCCCTCAAGTGGGGGGGGCACAAGCATTTTTTGGGGCGGGCCCGGCCCCCTATGGCCCGCCCATAGCGACGGGTGTGTCCACAGATTGGCTAGGCCACTCCAGGACCTTAATGTGCTTCTTCTTGAGCCACTCCTTTGTTGCCTTGGCCGTGTGTTTTGGGTCATTGTCATGCTGGAATACCCATCCACGATCCATTTACAATGCCCTGGCTGAGGGAAGGAGGTTCTCACCCAAGATTTGACGGTAGATGGCCCCGTCCATCGTCCCTTTGATGCGGTGAAGTTGTCCTGTCCCCTTAGCAGAAAAACACCCCCAAAGCATAATGTTTCCACCTCCATGGTTGACGGTGGGGATGGTGTTCTTGGGGTCATAGGCAGCATTCCTCCTCCTCCAAACACGGCGAGTTGAGTTGATGCCAAAGAGCTCCATTTTGGTCTCATCTGACGACAACACTTTCACCCAGTTCTCCTCTGAATCATTCAGATGTTCATTGGCAAACTTCAGACGGGCCTGTATATGTGCTTTCTTGAGCAGGGGGACCTTGCGGGCGCTGCAGGATTTCAGTCCTTCACGGCGTAGTGTGTTACCAATTGTTTTCTTGGTGACTATGGTCCCAGCTGCCTTGAGCTCATTGACAAGATCCTCCCGTGTAGTTCTGGGCTGATTCCTCACCGTTCTCATGAGCAATGCAACTCCATGAGGTGAGATCTTGCATGGAGCCCCAGGCCGAGGGAGATTGACAGTTATTTTGTGTTTCTTCCATTTGCGAATAATCACACCAACTGTTGTCACCTTCTCACCAAGCTGCTTGGCGATGGTCTTGTAGCCCAATTCCAGCCTTGTGTAGGTCTACAATATTGTCCCTGACATCCTTGGAGAGCTCTTTGGTCTTGGCCATGGTGGAGAGTTTGGAATCTGATTGATTGATTGCTTCTAAGAGTGTGCTCCTAATCTCAGCTCGTTACCTGTATAAAAGACACCTGGGAGCCAGAAATCTTTCTGATTGAGAGGGGGTCAAATACTTATTTCCCTCATTACATGCGTTTTTCTGGATTTTGTTTTTGTTATTCTGTCTCTCACTGTTCAAATAAACCTACCATTAAAATTATAGACTGATCATTTCTTTGTCAGCTGGCAAACGTACAAAATCAGCAGGGGATCAAATACTTTTTCCCCTCACTGTACCTATTTTGGGTGCTAAACACTCCACCTCCAAGTTGTAACCTCTAACCTTGTGTCCCTCTGTTAGACCATGCAGATCCAGGGGCGGCTCAAGTTCCTCCAGGGCCAGAAGAAGAAGTCGGGTTCGGGGGCCCTGCTACCCCCCCAGCTGGCCCTGTTCTGTGTGGCCGTGCCTCTTCTGCTGCCCTCCATCACAGAGATGAAGATGAAGGGCATGATGATGAGGGGCAAGCAGAAGAGCGGAGGGGGCATCATCACTGCACTAGATCATGGGTAAGGATGGAAGGACCCAGCTAGACTCTGACGTCATCATATAGGCTTACACTGACTATACTTCTAAATGTACTCACTTTATAGGCTTCAATTGAGAGTGATATTATTTAAAACTCCCATTTTTTATTGAAGATGGGGGCTATGTCATGCCTTATAAGTTTACTACTAACTTTGAGGCGGATGGAAATCCTTGGAGCATGGCTCAGTCAATCTAGTTTTGCCTTATCTGCAGACCAACCATTCTCAGACCATTCTTTTATTTATTTGAACAGCAACTTCAGTGTGGTCCTAATAGTTCGATTTGGGACAGAGTTGGCACAGTCCAAGTGTTTGGAGTGAGAAAGGGGCAAGGTCAGCCAAGGGGCCAGGCTAAGCTAGGCCCGGCGCATTAACTGGACAGATCTGGGTCACCAAGGGCAAATGCCGCCAGGTATTGGGTTCACCCCCTGCTCGCCTAGACCAATCAGAAACGACCTGTTACATCAAGAACAATAGCTTCACACAGAAGCTGGCTTCTTTCTCTTTCCACCAGCTCAAACACAGACACCACACAAACACGCACGCACACACACTAAAAGGAGCTTTGGACGGCTCACAATACTCAATTAGGACAACAAATGGATTTTCTGTTTTTGGACTCGGGCCTGTGCTTCATGGATCATTAGGGAGTAAAGCAGGCTTTGAGGGTAAAAGTTGAGTTGGAGGGCACACTCAGTAGTAGTCAACTAGGGCCCTACAACTCCCTCTTGTGTTCGCTATGAGTAATGTGTAATATCTCCAAAATAGTATTCTCTTTTCACACTCCAACTCAGGTGGTTCCACAGTTGATATGAAGGAGAAGCACAAAATGGCTTACTTTTCTATAATAAATCAACCCTTTGTAACTTTAGGGTGATAGTGATGAAGCCCTAAAACAATCACAGATATCTTCAGGTTATACGTACATGGATCATAGACTTGCACCTGCACAACATATGATTCAAACATTGTAAAAGTCATACAAAGCTACATTGAGGTGACTGTTAATTTTTTTGGGGGGGGTAGATCAGCTTAATATTGCAGATAGATTGTAACTTCTATCAATGTAATTGTCTGCATCACTTCCAATCCCCCATGTTTTTTATATATATATTCCCCTTTATTACTTTCCAACCCCGCCACCCTTTCCCTACTTGGGGTAAACTAGTGAACAACAATGCTTAGGCCTCTACTTCCAGCTTATACTTACTATCTACATTTTATGGACACAGTCAATTTTACAATAATTATATTTTGTTAGTTTTTTTCTCCTGAACTTCTTCTACTCTCAACCTCTCCGATCATTTTCATGATGTCCATCCGGTTTGCTTCTATATGCCATATCTTTCTAACTGTGCTCTTTCCCAAAAGCTCCCAACATACAACCTATATACTTATTATGGACACAGTATGCTTACATTATTAGTTATCTTGTTATTATTTTGTTGTTAGTTGTTATTAGTCCCATCCTTCAGCTCCATTCAACACCTCCCATCTATCTCTTAACACCATCCATATAGGATTTCTATTTGCCATATATATTTAAACTGTACTGTGATGTTTTACAAAAATTCTGAACCTTTCTATTCTCATTGTTTCTACAGAATACATTTTTGCTAAAAGTATTATTATATTATTGATCGATTGACTATGACTTTTCAGATCACCCAGTAATGCTATCTGCAAGGTTAGCTCCAGGTGACTGTTTAACGGACTGTTCTTTCATGAGGCAGTACAGATATCCAAAAGAAAATACGTTGCACCAGACTTTGATATTATTCCATGTATATTTAATCCATTACTATTGTTCTACCATAGGATCATGATGTTTCATGACAACACTTGTTCAGAGTATAAGTCCAATACACATTACATAAGCATTAGGGATTTGACAGACTCCCGATGTAAGACATAGGTCTACACACTTTATAAACCTGAAGCATACCTTGCTTCTGAGGTGAATCGACGATCATACGTCAAAAGAGCTTCCCACTAATTCCAGTTAAAGCTGTTATGAAGTGACCTCAGTGTCTCCTCCATGACATCAGTGTCTCCTCCACAACCTCAGTGTCTCCTCCACGACCTCAGTGTCTCCACAGTCCATGGTTCTTTTACCCTCTGCCAAAACCAGCTAAATGACAGAATTGAATGATGAGTAGAGGGAGAGAGACAGAGAAGGAGTGATATTGTTTGTGATGTTGATAAATGACAGAACGGGTCATGCTCTTACCAGCAGAGTTCACTAAAGAGACATTCAATAGGTTTTGGTCTCTGTAGGCCTACCCTCGACACGGTGCACAGACTTAAGCCCAGAATGTGTCATTGAAACACAGTTGGGGTCTTAAGAACTAAACATGTATCTGTTTATCACTGAGGGCATTGAAATACAATTTGTAGGGAAGGGAAGGAAGATAACACAGTTCTCTAGGCTAACTGATCCCCAGCTTTGGCAGGAAGTTATATAATCTGCCTGGCTGTGTTTAGATCCTGGGAAAGATTAAATCATTCTCAGAAATAAATACGGCTTCGTTTTTGTCATTCTGAGAATTCGATGTCAATGTTGTTGTTGACTTGATTATTTGAACGGACAAAATGGATAGCTGAAAGGACATGAGAAATATATGATTATTATAATCCACATACACTGTTCTGATGAGACAGGATAAAGCAGGAGAATTGTATTCCTCTCTTGTTGACATAGCAAAAAATAGTCTTGTTCCCTATATGATCATCTCTCTCATATTGATGTGTATATTAATGTGTATAGTGATGTGTATAGTGTATATTGATGTGTGTTGATAGGTATGCATGACTCCCTGTCGAAATAAATGTTGCATAAAAATAAATAGAATAATTTATACTGTAATGAACGGGAGGGATAATCTGTTGAAGTAATCAGATGTCATTACAATACTGACACAAAACAGTTGGGGCTGCCAAAATGGTTTGTTTTCAGATCTAATAAATCACCATAATCTTCCTACCTCTCTTCCCTCTTCCTCCATGTTGCAGTGAGAGAGAGCAGCACTTCAGGAGGCACGCTGGCAGTGTGGCGATGGTGGATGGCGGGGACCCGCTGCTCCTCAACTGCACCAACCCTGGGGGGTCCCAGCAGCGCCTCAAGTACAAGTCGGAGGGGGGCTACTACGGCCAGGACGAGCCCCTCAACTACTGCAAGACCTCTATGGGCGGCGTCCCCCACCACAAAGGTCCAGGCCCGGACTCCCCGTGGCCCATGCGGCCTGCCTCAGGGACCGTCCGGGCTGGGCAGAGTGGCGGCTACATCCTCTCGAATCGACTCGGGAAGGCGGGCCACTATGGCAAGCCCTACCGCATGTCCCCCAGCATGTGTCATGGAGGAGGACGAGGTGGTGAGGTTTACGTGCCCAAGATGTACGGGAGCCTCCAGAGCCCAGACGGCTCGGACCCCTACTGCTTGGGAGAGGCGGTGAAGAGTGAGAACGGCTACGGCGAGTGCTACGATGGCCGCCTGCTGCCCGAGATGCCCATCAAGGTGGAGCAGGACTCTGACTCGGAGAACGGCTGCGACGCCTACGGCCGTCCGTGGACGTGCCGGGAGCCCGTAGATCGTCGCTACGGCAACGGCTACGGCGACAACAATGGACTTCAGATGAAGTCGGAGGCGGACTACTACGAGCAGTACTCGCCGTGCCAGCGGGGCAAGGCAGGTATCAGCCCCATCAGTCCGCCCTACAACAACGGCCACTTCCAGAACTATAATAATGTAGGGGGCGGCAGGCCCTTGAAGAATGTGATCAACAAGGACCAGTCCCAGTTCAGTCCCCAGAGGCTCTCCCACTCAGACCCCCTATGTAGCAGCCAGAGCATCAACTGCATGGACGTGTATGCAAGCGGCCCCGTGGATCACAACAAGGGATACATGCAGCAGGACTACAAGCTGAGCTACGAGTTCAAAGGTCATGGACTGCTCCACGCCATAAAGCGGGAGCCCATGGACTCACCCCCGTGGTCGGACGGCAGCAGCAACGACATGAGTCATGCCATGGGGCACTCTCAGAGGAACGTTATGCCCCACTGTGTGATGAACGCTGGGCAGCACAAAGCCAACCCCTATGTTTATATGCAATAGACGTACATCCATCCCATACTTCCTCATTCACCAGCATAACACATTGGCAGAAGACATTCAGGATATGGCTCAGGTTTAAAGACTAAGTGTTGAGACAATCAAAGAAAGGAATGGATTTTGTTTTGATGAATGGAAGAAATTGTAGTTATTATCCTAAGCACTTTTGATTTAGTGATGCAAATATTTCTAGTCACATTTCTGTTTGTGTTTTGTGTTGTCTACACTTGACTTCTCTGGTAGGCTGTTTAAAATTGTGATGGTAAACTGTATAAAATGTACACATTCGTAATGGGTGATACAGGATTGTGTTACAGTGAGTGTATCTGGAGTGAATTTGCTATTATGTAAATATTTGACCAGAAATTATTTTCTGTCTAGAAGGTTTACCCAAAGAGGGTCATGCATGCTCTTTTTAGTCAGGTTTTGTAAATCAATTGAAGGATCATTTGAACATGGTACGCATTAGTCTGAATACACTATATATACAAAAGTATACGGACATCCCTTCAAATTAGTGGATTCGGCTAGTTCAGCCACACCCGTTGCTGACAGGTGTATAAAATCGAGCACACAGCCATGCAATCTCCATAGACAAACATTGGCAGTAGAATGGCCATACTGAAGAGCTCAGTGACTTTCAATGTGGCACCGTCATGGGATGCCACCTTTCCAACAAGTCAGTTCGTCAAATGTCTGCCCTGCTAGAGCTGCCCTGGTCAACTGTAAGTGCTGTTATTGTGAAGTGGAAACGTCTAGGAGCCACAACGGCTCAGCCGCAAAACGGTAGGCCACACAAGCTCACAGAACAGGACCACAGAATCATCTGTCCTTGGTTGCAACACTCACTACCGAGTTCCAAACTGCCTCTGGAAGCAACGTCAGCACAAGAACTGTTTGTCGGCTTCATGAAATGGGTTTCCATGGCCGAGCAGCTGCACACAAGCCTAAGATCACCATGCGCAATGCCAAGCGTCGGCGTAAAGCTCGCCGCCATTGGACTCTGGAGCATAGGAAACGCGTTCTCTGGAGTGATGAATCACGCTTCACCATCTGGCAGTCTAACGGACTAATCTGTGTTTGGCGGATGCCAGGAGAACGCTACCTGCCCCAATGCATAGTGCCAACTGTAAAGTTTGGTGGAGGAATAATGGTCTGGTGCTGTTTTTCATGGTTCGGGCTAGGGCTAGTCCCCTTAGTTCCAGTGAAGGGAAATCTTAACGCTACAGCATACAATTACATTCTTTTTTTTGTGTATTTTACCCCCTTTTTCTCCCCATTTTCTTTCTTGTCTCATCGCTGCAACTCCCCAACAGGCTCGGGAGGCGAAAGTCGAGTCATGCGTCCTCCAAAACATTCGCCTTAGACTGCTTCGCCACTCGGGAGGCCCTATACAATGACATTCTAAACAAGTCTGTGCTTCCAACTTTGTGGCAACAGTTTGGGGAAGGCCCTTTCCTGTTTCAGCATGACAATGCCCCCATGCACAAAGCGAGGTCCATACAGAAATGGTTTGTCGGGATCGGTGTGGAATAACTTGACTTGCCTGCACAGAGCCCTGACCTCAATCCCATCGAACACCTTTGGGATGAATTGGAACGCAGACTACGAGCCAGGCCTAATCGCCCAACATCAGTGCCCGACCTCACTAATGCTCTTGTGGCTGAATAGAATCAAGTCCCCACAGCAACATCAACTCCATATTAATGTCCATGATTTTGGAATGAGATGTTCGATGAGCAGGTGTCCACATACTTTTGGTCATGTAGTGTATGTGTGTGTGTGTCCAGTGTGTCCAGTTTTGCGAGAAATGATTTTTTTGCATGATTTTAAAATCTTTGATTTAATCCTATTCTTATAAATCTATGTGCACAACTCAATCAGCTCTAGTCACTATTGTAGAGAAAGATACTGTATTGATCTCTAAGGTCACTATTGCCTGTTTCATTGTTCTTACTACAAAATACATGACATTCTCCTCCAGTCCCACCCTGGCAAGACACACAAGTTACTGAATGTTGTGTAAGTTGACAGTTCATTGTCATATCATTCAAACTACTAAATAGAGGTTAAAACACGGTCACACTCATGTAAAGTAATCCCAGAAGGAACTGTGTTCAAAACTGTTTAAGTTGCTTTCTATGCATGCTCTTATGAATTATGAACAAAATCATGTTGCTCTGCTCTACACAAAACAAAACAAACACGTCACCTTCAGTCTCCACAGTACAAAATAGTCTTTGATGTTTTCTTTCAATATTTCAAACATGAAGCTACTGTTAAGATTTTGTTGCACTACTGGGACTGACTCATCATCCATTCAATACCTACCTAGACATGATGTCGAGTTGACATGCACATTGTAAATGGCTTCACCTTTGAGATTTAAAATGACTTTTATTTTTGTGTTAAATTCAGTAAATGTCCAATGATTCATATTTATTTTCTAGCCAGAATTGTATATTTAAATCCAGACATCTGGGGGCTTTGCGCTGTTTCACGAAGGAAAATAAAATATTTTTTTTTTATAAAACATTAACAAGTAAATACACAATTAAGATCTCTGGCTAGCATTGTAGCTGCAAGGCAGCAAGTATGTATTTGCGGCAACTTGTTATTTTTCAGTGTTTTTCAAAAACAAGAATGACCTAATAAAATATAATTCTTAAAGTGATACTCCAGAACTTTTGTATAATTTCAGTAGTTTTGAAAGTGGTACTCAGGAGCCAAAATGGGTCCCCGTTTTTTGTGTACTAGTTCATCCAATTGTGTACTACATCATCCATTTTGTATGATATGTTATGTCCTGCAAAACAGAACCAAAAAAATATATATTTTTGCAATTCATATGATATGTCACAAATCCAATTCGTTTGTTGTGCTTGAGATTCCGGACTGCATCTTTAAGGAAGACAGAGTACCAGTTTCTCTTTTCCTGCTGTCAGACCAAAACATATTGGGTATTACGGCAATATATTGTGCACAATGAATAATAAAAAATACATTAAAAAAATCATGGTAACAAGGTCTGCAAAGGCTCTCTTTAGATTACATGGGTTGTCTTTTAACTCAAAAAGGACATTACAACCTTTTGCCAACAGTTTATTATCATGCTATTGTTTATTGACATTAATAGCTAGCTCTTTAGTGCCATATTTCAACCTGCAGTCTTATTGTCTTTCTCCATTAGAAATGGATGAGAGGAAAAAAAGATATGCAGGAGCACTGCCCACTTTATGATGAATGCAGTGTAAATGCTACGTGACAGTTCCTTCGCACGACTAGGGGAATGGAACACGGACCACTTACCACAGTCTGGGAAGAGCTGGAAACAGGGGAAATACTGTACCTTCCTATATTAAGTCAAAACAGTTAATGTCATGACACATTGTAGTAAATTGTATGAGAGGGAGCCATGCAAGTGGAGGAGGGTTCTCACTGCTTGGAAAGAGGCAAGAACTTTGACTAACCTTATGATTCAGAAGACCAAAAACCTTACAAAACTCAGACATATACTGTATATTTCAACACCACACCTTTGAGCAGATAGAAGTAACAATATCATAATGGATAGAAGGGATGACTCCCTGTGAGTGTCCAAAACAGGCTAGCAATCTGTCACTCTTGATTTACAGTATCCTAATCAGTGTTGTCAATTAACAGCTATTAGCTTAATCATTCTCACTGACTATTTGCTGTGCAATCTCACTAGTGAAAAGATCATAAGGCCCCCCAATAATATACGTTTCACGAGTAGCTCAGGATGGGTCAGAGCTCAGCACCGGTCAATGCTAAAAACAAACCAGATATATAGCGCTGACTCAGTGCTATGTGGTAGAGCTAATGAGCTTGGATAGGATAGTGATGAGTGATGACCATTGGTCTCATCACCTGTACACAACTCATTTACCTACTTTGTAACTGTGCATTACAACTCATATTTTACTTGTTTACTTGTCACTCTGTGAAATACAGGACAAAGACTGAATTGACGATCCAATGAAAAGCTGGATATGACAGCACCAGACATACAGTAGACTGGGTACTTTACAAAATGGTCATGTGACTCTATGATTGACCCTAAGCCGACCAGCCAGCTGGAGGGCTGTCCTCCTCATTGGTTTAGGAGGAAAACCAATCCTCAGAAGAGGATTACCTTCTTCCTTCCATCTTGCTATATCTGCGCCCTAATTCTCCATAACAACCTGTGTGTCCTAAAAGGGCCATAACATTCCATGTCAAAAGTCAAAGAGCGATAGAAGGATAAGCGCTCGGCAGGTCTGTCACCAGCAGTCACATAAGTGTTATTTTAGCTAAGCTAAGCTCATGTAACCAAACATTGCAAGCTCTGATATTGCTCAAATTTGGAATACAAGTAGTCAGTTGTCTGCCCTATATACACAAACAAACAACATTAGGATATCTCAATGCATCTTGGAAATATAGACCTGTAAACACACAGATACAATAGTTGGAAATATCAAATATGAATATTTATGATGACTGTAAACTTAACTTTTTGGTTGCTATTCAATATACAACTTTCCAAGTCAAATTTGTATGGTCCTGCCTAACAAAAATGTATATAGTTACATTTTCTTTGTATGTTGTGTCTAAGGCAAGTGGGCTCAGACACTGAAAACGTAATTATTTTCCAGTCAAAGGTTCCTCTGTGGGTTCTATATGTTTAGTCCCTACTCTTGCAATAACATTAGGCGGCCCCCATAGATTTGACTACAAATCCAATATGGAGTGCAAAATCCAATATGGCTGCCACATTACCAATACATTTAAAATGAGAAATGTTTCAGATTTGTGTACTGTACTTATGACCTGTACTCAATACTATTTTTGTGTACTTCATCTATATTAGGAATCCAATATGCCCACCATATACACTCAAACACTTTTGTCTGGATATATAAAAAGGCAGCAGACTGCTTGGCATAGCAACACCAAGTATTCCAAGTCACAAACCTCTTTGAGGATCACTGAGGCAACTG